ATAACCACCAGAATATGAAGTAATAGGAGATTCAGACTGGTTGTCTTCTGGCAGCAGCCTGAATGGTTTGGATGCAAGTTCATATTTGTGTTTTGGAAGGGGGTACACCTTTATGTGCCAGCAGGCTGCAGCTGTTTGTCCTGCATGCCTTGTGACAATGTTAAAGTGGCTGATTTGGGACAAAGAGACTGCATACATTCATTCTCAGGCAGCCACAAATCACATACTACGAGGCAGAAAAAAATTTGTAGGCTGATGAGCAGCAACCATTCATGTTGCTAGAGGGAGAATTCTCTACTTGTCTCTGCAACATGGACTATCTTTAATGTAAATAGTTGGGCTCCAGGCAAGTTCTTGGGTATACAGAACAGTTGGCATTTCAGTCTGCTACAAAGGTGGCTCTTATTCACGGCATTTGAAATGCAAAGCACTGCCACCATCCAGTAGGTACTGTTTGCACTATCGCTGTCACTCAGCAGCAGCAGTGAGGAATTATGTAGCTGAATTTTCCTAGGTTGTATGAGAATGAGGAAAAGCCTTGAAATTGCCTCTCATCACACAGCAAGGGACACACAATAGTATGCAGGGAAAAGGCAAAAGAAGGAGAACTTCTGTTACTCTGAACTGGAATTTTTCACTTGCTTCTCTATGCTTCACTCCCTATAAATGCATCTCACTAATATATGAAAGTCTTTGTTTTGCAGTTTCTTACAGTGTAGAAAATGCATACTCACAAAGTGTCCAGAGCTATTCTACTGTGAAAGCACATAAAACATTTCTTAATCAGGAGAGGACAGGAGGAGAGGGGTTAATTTAAAATTTTAGTTTGATATCTGAAAGTTTATCAACATCTTCTGAATGCTTGTCAGAGCTTGGCAATACAATCTACAAGTCTTAGTGTGATTCCATGGTAGTTTGTGCTGGGTACAAACAAGTAGAGTATCTCCTTTGCTGTGGGTGTGAAAGGCTCATGCTTTGGCAGAGGAACTGAGAACTGTGACAGTGCACTCAGGGCTAACTGCAAGACCAATGCCACTCAGCACTGTCCAACCTGACCTCAGACTTGGAAATGACTAACAGTCTCTTTCCACGTAAACCCTTTCCCTGGAGGCTGGTTGATGAAAGCTTTTGGAAAAATATTTGGAGGACAAGTTAAAAAGTCTCTCAAAAGAAGCCCCAGTATCCTGTTTAGAGTACAGATGTTACCATTGTGGGAAAGGGGATCTTTGTCTTCTTCCTGATTGTACCTTTGCCAACATACCATTGACATCAGATATGTAATTTCTCCCCATGAACATCAGAACACAACATTCAATAATAGCACTTTTAATTCTGGAGGAGTTCAAGGTTCTCCACATGAGAAAGGTGTGCCATGCTTCTCCTTTTACAGGTAGGGTAGGAGGAGTCCAAAGAAGTAAAGTGTGTGCATTACACCATCTAGGGGATTGTATTGTGTGGGAGTTGGGTTTTATTAGGAAATCCCAAAAGTGCACTGGCACTTCTGCTCCCTCCATGACCTATGCATAAGTCAGTATGGAAAACTTGTGGCTTGTAGGTGGGTGTGTCTGCTGTGCAAGCATTAGACATAGTCATGGGGCAAAAAATGGATGGCATAGATGCAGTTTCTGAAGAGTGAGACAGGAATCATCTTGAGAAGCTCAGGCTCCAGCTGACAGGCCTCCTTTGGACAGTGCCTCTGCTGCACCTCCAGAGATTTGATTTTCCTAAAACATGGCAATACAGGCAACTGCAATATTGATGTCTGTCCCTCTGAAAACCAAATATAGTAGTCAATACTCTTGTACAGTGATCATAAGTCTTTACTAGACCTCCTGTTCCTAATAGGCATCACTCTTTAAAAGGTCACTTTAGTAAAGTAGGCAAAATAATGTAAATACCAAGAGTTAAGCATCGTGGATCAAGCCAGCATACTGAAGTGAGGGAAAGGACTGGAAAAGAATGGGCACTACTGCTGGGCACTCAGTGTGGGATTTTGGGGTATTTGAACTTTAAAATTGGCAGAATGGACAGCTGGAATGATTTAACATTTTATCATTAATTTAAGCCATAGAAATTAATGTTTAAAATACTTTCTGAGAAGAGCAAAGGATAAGAGAATGAATCCATGGACTATCATTTCCATCTATGTCACTGTGAGTCCAGCCTCATGCTCCTGCCGCTGTCTGGAAGAATTTGCTTTAGTGGAGTTAAGGTTCAGTGTAGAGCAGGTGCAGTGTGTGGGAAGAACATTTATTTAAACTCTGTGGGCTTTTGAAAATAGGAGTGAGAGAAGTACCCAGTGAAGCTCTCAGTAGTACTGTGCTGTGCAGTATTCTGCCACATTCAGGGCGTCATGTCTGTTTTGGAGTGAGGAAGGAGAGCTGTACAAACCAGCTGTGTGTGCTAGAGGAGGGCAGGTGGTTTTTGTTTAGCCAAGCCAAATGAAATGCATTCTGCAAATGTGCCATAAGAAAAGAACCTGCTCCTGCTCCAGCACAGGAAGGACCTAGTGGCCCATGTGTGAGAAGGAAAGATAAAGGGGGAAAAGAGCAACCTTAGGTCAGAGAATTGCATTGCACCACAGTTTGGCATAAATTCTGAAGACACATTATTTAAGTCCAACATACAAAAAGAACAATTTCTTTACATGTGGCACTTGCAGATACTGTCAAAATTACAATGGCTCCTAATTCAGCTTGTGTGGAAGGACTCTCCTGACCCGTGGGACAGACGCCTCCACCGAAGCAGCTGTTTCTCCTCCACTATAACTTTCTGCTGTGTGCAGCAGTTGTTCCTAATTGACTGGCCTGCTGTCCTGTGGTCACAGCTCCTCCAGGTAGTGCCCAGTGCCAGGGCTTCCACTGCTGGCACAGGAGCTGGGAGCTGTTGTTTCTGGTATGCACCCTTGAGAGCAATGCCCAAGCAACAGATCCATAGGCTTGGTTGGAAGGTGTGACTAATGCAACACTGGGGTCTTACGAGACCAGCTAGATTATGTTCTCTTCTTAGAGGCTACGTCAGGACAGAGCTTTCTTTGTAAATATAGTAGTATGTATGTTGATACTACCTCTAAATATATATTGCATATTCCTGCCTCTTTTTATCTTGAAGAGAAGTTTCGCCATTTTGTGGCTAGTCTGCTGGTACTATTTAAATAGGGCTGGTATGTAAATAAAACTCTTAAACTTTTGAATGAAATATGATTTATAATAAGCCTTCTATTACTAAACATGAAGGAGTTTCAGTGTTTTATGTGTCCCTATTCCAACTGCTTACCCTTTCTGTGCTTTGATCAACTGCATCTGGCAAGTCTTTAAAAAAATCCTGAAAGTTTCTGAGGAAATGAGGGTGTTTCATCCTAGGTCCTGAAAACCACACATTCCTGTTTGGGAATGTGCAATTATTACTTCAGTGAAAACCCCAAGCCCCACAAAATTTGCCTATTTAATTTTTCACTCACCTTTACCTCCAGAGTTCCTCACCCTCTGGCACATGAATTAATGTTCATGTCTGAGCTGAAGGACTGAAAAAACAGTTTCCATTTCTGTTTTTTTCCCAGCAGCCTTTTAACTTCAGCTAACTCATTCAGCTTCTTAAGAAGTATAGGAAGGGTGGCAAGTCACCATCTGTGTGCAGTATCTAGTGTTAGTTTGGTACTTTGAATACTGCATTAGGAAAACAGTGCTTCCTTTAGTAAACCCACTCATTGTTTACTTTGGGATAACTTTGTTAAAACTGGTGTTAGAGTTGAAGATGAAACACCTGCCAAGAAGGTGAGGTCTTGTATTTCTTTTTATTTTAGAATTCCAGATCTTTCATTTATGAAGACCTCATTACTTTAAAAGACTACTAAGGTCCTCATGTCAGATCATTAACCACTGACAGTACTGTTATGTTGGAACATATGATTCCAAATAAAACAAACGGCAACAGGGAAATATGTTTTAAAGCTGCAAGGTCCTCCTAGGGTAGTTAACTGTGTTGCTGTTTAAGTATGTTTATATACCCACATGCCTTGGGACTGTTGCTGTCTCCAGCTAGAGAAAAAAAGCAGTGTGACTTGTGCATGAGAGCAACTGTAGCTAAAAGGTGAAGTCCTGCTACTCCTGCAAGGGAGTTGGCCTGAAGGAACTCCAGATTTACTTGTGTAATAATTAGAGGTGGTAACTCAAAAAGTCTGTTTATTTCAGAAAGGAAAAGAAATACATTTCCTCTACTACTTACTGATTATAAAGCAGTATTTTACTTGCACTTTTCAGTGGGTTAAAATGTGTTAAGTGTCACTTAAATGCATTCCTCAGCGTAGAAAGTCTGAAGATAAATGTGAAGATCAGTCAGGAGCTCTACTCACCTCTTAGGAATTTAAGTGCATTGGCATATGGATGCCCTGGAAAACAAGTTTTCCTTGAGCATTCAGAAGTATGGTTTGAAGCTCCCGTGTGCCAGGATATTGAAGGATTTATCTCACATAGGTAATGTGCAGAAAATGGGGCTGAATTGGTTGCTGTGCTCCACTGACCACTTTGGAAAATGCAAGCCCTGATTATTGAGTTGGTTTGACAGAATGTTGATACCATCTTATTGTGAAAACTTCTAGGTATCAAGGGCTTTCAGGCAGCAGTGCTGGGTTGTGTCCAGGGTACCTCAGGCTACCGAAGTCAAAACCTTACAAGTGAGTCTGCCCAAAACCGACTACACAATACTTCTGGTTTCTTCCTTTCTTTTCCCTTTGGACTTCTGAACCTTTAGGATATGCTGTGCTTTGTGAGGTTTCACTATAGCCACAGGAAGTCGAGATTGCCTGATGGTAACTCCCTCCGAGACCTGGATCGGACCCAATCCAGCGGCGGTCAGCAGGAGGAACTGTCATCCCTCTGTCCAGCCATTTCTCTGGGAGATCGTCGTGTCCCAGCTCCGGCTGTCCCCTCAGACAGGACGGCCTTGAAAATTAAACAAACGAAGGGACTTCTGGCCCAGTCCCTCTGGCTAAGCTCTCTCCCACCTTCATCCCCTCTCAGGCGTCCTTCTTTTTTCAAAGGAGGGGGCCACCCCAGCGGCGGTCCCTCAGTACCCGTGCGGCGGGACGCGGAGCGCCGCGGGGCCGAGCCGGCAGTGCCGGGCTGGGCAGCAGCGGGCGGGGCCGTGCGGCCGGGGCGTGCCCGGCGCTCCCGCGCGGCGGCGATCCCGGTCCCGCTCCTGATTCTGATCCCGCTCCCGCTCCCGCTCCCGCTCGGTCCCGCGGCCGCGGGGCTGGTGCTTGGGCGGCACCGCTCCCGGCGTGGTGCAGGGGCAGAGCGGCAGCAGCAGCAGCGCAAACACACGCGCAAGCATGCCGGGCAGCGACACGGCGCTCGCCGTGGACAGGACGTACTCGGACCCCGAGCGGCACCGGCGCTGCAAGACGAGGGTAAGGCGGGGGAGAGCAGGCGCTGGGGCTGCCTGGGGGATTTGGGTGCCGAGCTCTGACAGGCAGCCGCCAACCTGCGGCACTTTCCCCGTGAGGTCTCCGCGTTTGCTAGGCTGACGATCTAAAGAGAAGGTTTTTTCCTGTGTGATTCTTTCATGTTCATGCTCTGGACGCTTTTCGGTATAGGAAAATGAAATGAAACTGGATATTGACTTCATAGAAACCAATGTTCGAGGTATCCCCGCAATCGAAACTAGAGGGATACAAGTGTAATAGAGAACTTACTCACCAGAGTCAACAGCGCTGATGATTTAATGCCGTGACTCTGTCTCGATCACAGTGGTGAATACCGGGGTTTGGTTCTGTTTCTCAAGGTTTGTTTAATAAACTCTGGAGCAGGTGATTGTATCTGGCAGCAGACAATTATTATGGTGTCTTTTATGAAGTTAAAAGAGGGCTGTGGCAGGAATGGAACTTGACAGAAAAAGTGCACCTGTGTGTTCTAGGGATAAAGTAAGAATATACTTACTATATATGCCATGATGCATGGCTTTATGAAATAGCTTTTCTTAGTCTTCTGGCAAGTTTGTCTTTCTTTATTTTTGTGTTTTGTTCCTGGTATATATATAAACATAAACATGCATAGGCAAAGCTTGTGATCCTTTCATGTCTTTGGTGGCTTTTATGGTAAGTGTTCTGTTGATGAATGCACTTTGCTTTTTAGTTTAAAGTTCTTACCTAAATATTCAGCTCAAAGACATGTAAAAAGTGGCCCTTTCTTCCCATGCACTGCAGGAAAGGAAAAACGAGGTTGCTCTAGCTGACTTGGGATATTGGCAGGAATCCTGTTTTCTGAGCTGAGATCTTGGGTCTGCCCATAAATGAACTTTATGGTTTGAAGTGTAAGGATCAACTATTTGTGAGGCAAGATCTTTTCTGGGAGGTGACTGGGGTAAAGGTTTTGGGAGTTTTATTTTCCAGTACTGCACATTAGCAGTATTCTCCATCCCTCCTGCCCATTAATTCACAGTGATGAAAAGGAGATGGTGTGATTCAGATTGCTTCAGAATAATGAAATATTTTAAAAATAGATAGCCCTATACACTGTAGCGTTACTACTGGATTCTACAATGCTCTTCCCACTGTAAGGTGGTCGCACATGCTAGTCACATTGGAGTTAACAGTGTTATGCATTTCCTTTGTTCTTCTCTGTTGAAAGTTGAACTGATTAGTTTCTCCTTCATTGATCTTGCTGTAAGAATGTGACTACCTACCTAAGTGTAGCCGTGGAGAAAAGTTGCGTATCTTCATAATTTTTGTCATATTTAAAGGTTAAACTCTACTCTCTATTCAAGTTGATTTACTTAACAGTATAAGGTATCATGGCTAATGCTGTTTCGTTTATTGTACTTGTGTAATGACATTTTTAAAAAAATCTCATGTTTAAGGCAATTTTATATTAGCATTGGTGTTCTGCATGATTTTGGATTTCTTTTAGTCAGAATTAGTGTCATCTTCCCTTCCTGTGACCATGAGGGCTGGAAATACAACTCTATACAAGTTTAGAGTTGTATGTAATTGTGATGCTCCAGGGTTTGGGCTTTACAAGTTGTGTCAAATATCACAGAACTTGTAAAATAATTGCTAGGTATGGTAGCAGCATGTTGTATGTTCCAGATGATGGTAAGACCTTGTATTAAATCTGTTTGGGCTTAGTCCAGACAAACTGGAATTTTTCCTGGGTAAATTGCCTGGATAACTTGAACATTTCTCTTACTACCTTAGCCATAGTAGTAGAAATGGTCACACACTGGAGCAGCAAGAACTGGTGGTATTATGTAGAAAAAAGCAAGAAATTAGAATGCTGGCTTTTATTTACAGACTGAACAAAAATAATCAGAGCAGCTGAAATTAAAGCGGTCATTCTCAAACATGGATGGAGAAGAATAATGCAGTGCATGAATACAACAATACAGAGCTGGTGGTGGGGTTCTCAAGAGCCTGAGCAGACTTGGGAGGCTTGCTGTGTGAAGAATGCCTTGGAGCTGGATTTGGTAGCAGGATAGGGCATGTTGAAAGTAAGGTGAAATCCATTTAATAAAGTCTGGGGAAAAGAGAGGTGTTAAAGTAGAAGTTGGATCTCCTATTCTGTATAACATAGGCTACTGAGTCCAGTTTTTAGGTGGGTGGGTTTTAAAGGAATTCTCCAGTCTATAGGTTACTGCACGTGTCTTCCAAGCCCAGCTAAGGATTTTCCTTATGAGAAAGTGACACCTTTTCACTGGACAGGTAAAATGACAATTCCAGAACTGCTGTTGAGTATACTGTAGGAAGGCATCATTAAATTTAGTTTGCAGAAGTGCTGGAACAATTTCCTGTAAATGTAGCCTTCAGAGTTTATAAATGTAGAGTCTGAGGGGATTTAAACATTTTTGCTGCAGCCAAAAACCTTCTTCAGTGTACAGCAACAGGTCTGCTCAATGCCTTCTTCTTTGAGGCCATGTGAAATACAAGATGTTGTGGGTTGTGCTGATAATTCTCCATATGTCACATTTTGTGAGACATTCCCAGTGACTGAACAAGAGGAAATACTTTACAGAAGTACAGTTGGATCATTCTTAACTTAGGAAAGTCACTCCTGCTGCTGGAGGCCAAATATTTTGAAGGAAAGGCAGTTCTTTCTTGTTGGACATTCTCTTCCTTGGATGAATCACAAGAGTCCAGCTATGCTGTGCATGGCACTACTGAGTGGGGCATAAAACCACTATTACGTGAAGTGTAATGGAATTAGTGCCTTACAGTTCTGCTTTTATGTGGTGGGCATAGATTATAGCCATGTAGTTGCCTTAGTTCTGGAAAATCATCCATATCCAGATTTAGGAAGGGTGCCCTTCTAGGAGACTTTGCCTGCCTCTTCTTGCCAATAGTATCTGGTCGCTATAATCTGGATTAGTGCAGATGGCTCTGGTGGTGCAGGTGAAATCCGTGGACAGTACAGCCATACAAAACGTTTCTGGTCTTCTCTGCTAATGCCAGCTGCTGCAGCTTCACTGTGCTTAACATCCACTACTAGCTGATTCCTGCAACACTTCAAATATAAATCTTTGCCAAACATTCAGAATCAGATATGAATAGAACAGGATTTGAAGTAAGATATGAAGTAGAACAGGAGTTGCATTTTTGGTTGTCATGAACAAAGTACTGCTATTGCTGGAATGTAACTGGCAGGATAGTTTAAAAAGTGTCATAGGGCTTTCTTAAGGGACTTGATTTTGCAGTAAGCATTGTGGAAGACTAGGGTGTTCAGGTTCTGGCTACACTGTATTTCTTGATCAGTAAGTCCATGCAGAGGTATATGCAATTGCAATTCCTGAAGCTCAAACTAGCCTGGCTGTGCTAACCCGTGCCTCACTGTGCTGACTTTTGCTTCAAGAGCACTGTGTCAGGACTGCCTTTCAAGGCTCTATAAGGGTCTGTTAAAGCTGCCTTTTTTTTTTTTTTCCTTTTTTTTTTTTTTAAATCTGTTGATTTAAAAAAATCAAATGTTGACATTGCTCTTCAGTGTTAAAGCTGCCTTTTTTTTTTTTTCCTTTTTTTTTTTTAAATCTGTTGATCAGGACATTGCTCTTCACTCTTGATATCTCACCCATTACTGTACAAGAACCCTCCACATTTCATCAGGACTATAAATTTATATGTATGGCTTTGGAGGAAAAAATCCTTTTCCAGTACAACTAAAACACATAAATTCCTTAACTGCATCCGCATCAGCAGTCTATGTAGAAGTCTGCTTGCTTTTAGCAAGTACCAGCTGTGTTTGAGAGAGACACGGAAAGTCCCAATTGATTTCTTGCACATTGGAGCCTATTCAGAACTTTATTAGTGGAAAACAGAATTGTAAGAATCCTTCTTTTATTTGAAACAAATGGAAAAACCTTACCTGGAACAGGTGTGGTTTGTTTAATAATGAATAGAGAAATTAATTTCAAGCTTCTTGTTCTTTCAGCTTTAGTAAGACTAGCAGCAGAATCAGTGGTTTTTTTTTTTTGATAATTTAATTCTTACATGATCACACATATAAAAGGCTTGCACTAAAAAAAAAAAAAAAAAAAAAAAAAAAGCCCAGAAATTCCCCCAAAAAAAAAAAAAAAAAAAAAAAAAAAGGCCCAGAAATTTACTTCCTTTCTACTGATGAAAAAGCATTCTGTGGAATGTCTCTTCTCATTTTCCGTGTCTGTCTTATGATCCCTCCCACTGATCTTGTCTATAGGCAAGGCAGACTTTAATAATCCCTCCTCATATGTGTGTCTTTCTAAGCCTCTAATCACTTTCATCATCTGTCCTTGAATTCCCTTTATTTCCTAAAATCTTCAGCAGGCTTGGAGGAAATGACATAAAGGAACCTAAAAGGATTAAAAACAAACAAATAAAAACCCCAAACAGAATACTCCACCAAAGCAAACAAATCACACAACAAAACCCCACCAAGTTTAACCAAAACAAAAATCCACTCCACCCAGAGTTTTAGGAGATGGGGAGATTTAATCTCCTGGTGTTCTTTTAAATACAAAGATCACTGTGGAAGACATGCCTGTTCTGGGCTTTTATAACCTGTAACCAAACCTCCCAATATTTTGTGCTCTAAGACCTTACACACACTTTTCCCCACAGTTCCCTCCGGTTTGGACATAAGATGAAAATAATTTCATGAGACAGTTTTATTGGACCTCTAAGCTTTGGTTTTAAATCCACAATATAATTACAAATGTGTGAAACCTGTCAAAAGGTAGCCTGCATGATCCAGGGGAATTGGAAATAAGAGAGAGAAACCATAGTTATAATATAAACCCAGAAAGACTGACTAGTTTGTTAGATCTGAAGAAAAGCCTGTTTTGTTCATTTAAAACAGTAAACTGTTGAAACTTGATTATTTTGTCCATTTAGAACTGCATAAGAAACTTCTTACTTTTTTATTTCCTAGTGCCAGAAAGGAATATTAG